AGAACTCACCATCTCCTGGTGATTTACCCAAAGTCACCCAGCTGCATTTCATGGTGGGACTAGAACTCACCGTCTCCTGGTGATTTACCCAAAGTCACCCAGCTACATTTCAATGGCTACGATGGGACTAGAACTCACCATCTCCTGGTGATTGGTCCAAAGTCACCCAGCTGCATTTCATGGCTACGATGGGACTAGAACTCACCGTCTCCTGGTGATTGACCCAAAGTCACCCAGCTGCATTTCATGGCTAAGGTGGGACTAGAACTCACCATCTCCTGGTGATTGACCCAAAGTCACCCAGCTGCATTTCATGGCTAAGGTGGGACTAGAACTCACCATCTCCTGGTGATTGACCCAAAGTCACCCAGCTGCATTTCATGGCTAAGGTGGGACTAGAACTCACCATCTCCTGGTGATTTACCCAAAGTCACCCAGCTACATTTCATGGCTAAGGTGGGACTAGAACTCACCATCTCCTGCTGTCTAGCTAGGTGCCTTACCACTTTCCTCCCCTCTTAATGCCCTTTTCTAACTCACAATTCTCAGTGGGCCCAGCTTCTTCAGCCCTGCTGAGCACCAGGTTTTGACTGACGGACAAAAAGTTCCCAAACTGAAATTTACTTACTTTGGAAACAACTCAGGGATGGTGCTGGGGTAAGGAGCTGGACCCTTCTCTTCCGAAGGCAGCTTCTGATCCACGGTGAAGGTGTAGTCGTCCACCACGAAGGCCATCAACATTGGCAGAAATTTGGTGATCAAATCCACTTCCTGAGACACAGAAAGGCAGTGGAAGGTCGCCTAATCTTATCCCCAAGGTCTTTCTGGACAGAGCACCGTCCATTCAGAAGAACTAAGGAAGGAGCGGACCTTCAAGACCATCAGTGATGGCGCTCCTGGTGGTACCTTACCAGCTTGGGTTCTTTGAAGATCTGGCTGTCAATCACATCCCAAGCCCCTTGTCCCAGGGACAGCATCCTCAGAAGTAGTAAGAGTTCTGGGCTTTCCTGAAAATTTAGGAGAGGAAGAAAGAGCTGGAAGGGACCTTGGAGGTCTTCTAGTCCAGCCCCCTGCTCAAGCAGGAGAACTTACACCATCTCAGATAGGGGATTTCTAGTCTCTTCTTTAGCAACATCGGGCACGGAAGCAAGTGAATTCTCTGGCTGCTAAAATCCGTTGGGTCCAC